GTGTTATAGGGTCTCCACTCAACACAACAAACTCCAACACATCTCATTCACTCGTGCTAAAATTCAGTCACCTTTCATTAATCTAAGAACCGATCAACTAATTTGCATATCAGTTATTAACCCACTAAGTTGACAGGACGACAGAAATGCATGTTCAAAATATTATCACAAAAGACAATTTCCCTCATACAGTAAATTACTTGCTGCATCAATCAAGCAGGAAGCTTCTCCCAATTTACCATTTTAACATTAAATTTATTGTCTGATCGCTGGTTAGTCAAACCAGGATTGTTTTCCACAAAAGTTAAATTGTTGTCCTGCAACTTGGACAGTCAATTTTTTTTAGGATAAATTCAGTATTTGATAACAAGTGTCTGCTAAATTGACACTATTTTACACTGATGAAAGATAACAAGCTAATTTTCATTGCATGTGTGTGGAGCTGTATATCCAGCAGAGCATGCAATGTGCTATGAGTTTCACTGGTCTTTACATCACACGAGGTGACTTGGACAAGATAATAAACAGACTCACACACTTAAAATGTTGTCTAATCTTCATAAGCTATTTTGTGTTTGGAATTGTTAGTAGGGTTAATATATGTTCTGTTTTTATGTATCTTCTGAAACAGGTTACCATCGGCAACCACACTGTGTGTTGTTAACCCCTTCTACAAATACCCTCTTTTAATGTGTAACACTTTGTGTATGGTCTTGTGTTATCTCTGGTGGATATTAGCTGCATGTGTGGTGTCACCTTTCCATTTTCTAACAGCACACTTGCATACCTCAGTGCTTGTCCCCTTCCCCCTTTTGTGGTGGTCTGGACACTGTGTCAATCCTCCACTTCCAGGCAGTTGCTTGTCTCCCCGAATTCCTTAACCTAATTTGATTGGCCACACTAAAACAGCAGCCTCAGTCCTCCTCTGCTCCTCTCCTTCTCTCCCACTTTTCAGTCCAATGGCAGTCAGCTTTTTTTCCAGCTTTGTCCCGTGTCTCTCTTTGTCCCACTGTCTCTTTCATTGCCATCTCACTCCAAACATGGCAAATGTCAAACTCAGACAGTCTTCTCAAAAGTCCTTCACACACAGTGAGGTTGCAGCTGGCTGGAAACGCATCTCCATCCATCCAATCTAGATGATGGTTCTTCTCTTTCTGATGCCGTTTGCCCACAGCGCTGCTGGACCTCTCTGCTCAGATTGTCTCTTGGACTCCTGTCCACTGTTAAATGTTTATGCTCGTGCTTCTGAAACTGCACTCGGTGTCTTCAGGGAGAGATTCGTTTCCTTGGATCTTGCTTGTTCAGGATGAGGACGGGAAGCTGCAAAACAATTCAGCCAAAAATTCTGGCTGAGTGTTTCTAATTTTTCTAATGATTTCAACCTATAATTTTCTTACGACTGCTGCCCGTGTAGGATTGATCCAGGTCCGTTCCCCACCTGTAAACGACAGACTGAGAGACTTTCATTATTATCATCACTGCTTAATCATCACACATCTCTCTGTCTGTGTTTGTGTGAACAATCCTTTCTTAAAAGCAGAAAATGACATTGTAGTTGTTTTTCGGCTGATCAACACAAAACCTTTTTCCTATGATTATTTTTCTTCGTCTACAATGTAATTTGTCTCTTTTTCACTCTTTTTTTTTTCCCTTCACAATAGCTTGTGATCTGCAAAATCACTGCTCTCACTCACAATCAAAGGCAATTACTTTTGCACAGTGCACAAAAACACTGTGATGTCAGACACATTCACACTCACTTTTTCATCTACATAAATAAACCATATGGCTGGAGATATGCGCCATGGTGATCCATAGGCATGATCACCAGTTTATTTAATTATTTTTAATCCAACAAAACAAATAAACAAAAACTGATGCTACACACACACGAGTCAAGGTGCAGAAAAACTGCTCATGGAAACGCTGCACACTCTCTGTTTCCCTCTCTTTGAGCAGCTCTCAGACAGCTCTTGATCTGATAATGTGTAGCTTGCTCATCAGCTCAAAAAACAAAAACAAAACTGCAACGCGACATCACACAGTAGTTGCAGCATATTAGTTGTTTTCACAGGCGTGCTGTATATCTCAACAATGGCTCATAATAAGACGACAGTCTTTCACACAGGTCAAGTGCCTCTATGCACTTCATTAGTTTAAATATTTACCTATATCACTTCACCTCACATGTCATTGTACTGAATTTAAGCAACCACAAGCTTAATGTAGATTACTTTTAACAACTATCCACCTCAATTACGTCCATGGTCTGGCACACAGGCTGTTAACATTTTGTGTCAGGAAGGGGTGGGGGGAAAGCCACCCACCAGAGCACAGCTGCTGATGTGGGCTGGCCTTTTCCACACACTCTTCAAGGCTGGTGTGTTTTCTGAAAACTTCTAACATTTGAATCTCTTCCATTTATAAGCCTGCGATTAACCGCACGGCTCAGGTCCGCGTGAAACCCGCGCGACCGCATTCGCGTGCACCCACGCAGCTGTGGAACCTTCGCTCTCTCTCTTTTATACATAAATACTTTGTGCTGCCAGGAGCAAAGTCCAGCACAAACGTCTTTCTCCCTCTAACTCGCTCTTGGTTGCTTAGAAACCATAATAACAACAACAACTGCTGACGTCACACACCACGCGTTCTGCTCCGCACACACTCACACACAACAACAACAACGAGACGACGACAAAAATGACAATAACACAAAATAGGCCTACTCCGGACTCACACCGGACCGCTCGGGACCCTGACCCAGCTGTGGGACGCTCACCCACTCGCGCGACAAAACCCAATGAAGGGACGCTCGGGACACACACCCAGGGCGATTTCAAAACCGGACACACACCGGACGCTTGGGACCCTTGGGCGATTTAACCAAAACTTCTTTTTCGGGACACTAACCCAGTTATCGCTCCACAAAGCAGCGAACTTCTCAACGCCTCACAAAATGGCAGAGACTGCACAACGACACGGTTATAGAGTCGGCCTCTTTAAACTTACTTGGCGTTGCTTAGCGTGTAATATCAGCCTGAATCCCGCCGATCGCCATTTATCGAGGAGAAGGACAGACAGCGAATCCACAGGAACTTCCTGGCTGACGTCAGTCTTTCAGCGTGCCTCTCCCCCCCCCTCGGTGAATGCGATCCCAGGGAGCCGGCATCGAAGGACCAATTAATGATAGGTTTGTAGCATAAACCCTATTCGCTGGAACGTTGAAGACAATATAATTACACTGCAAAGCAAGACACAAGGTTCTGGTTTACTCATGCATGAGGGAGGTGTCTGGCTGGAGCCAAGTGTCGTCCCACCACTTGACCTCCGTCAGAGACTCTCAGCCAGGCTCCCCATAGCACTCCTTTTATTGTGGTTACATGAATATGCATAGGTTCATTAACATATGACGTCTTACATAGGTATACATGTGAACAAAGAATACTGTGTGTGTGTGTGTGTGTGTGTGTGTGTGTGTGTGTGTGTGTGTGTGTGTGTGTGTGTGTGTGTAGGTGTGTATGTAGGTCAAGATGTGACCCTGTGAAGCCTCCCTAAAGCTAGTGCCAGGATGTCTGAGTCCATCTAACAAAAGGCTCTTATACTTAAACAGATATACATGTGCTTGCTATACCATAAATCAACAAGAAAAGATCAACTCTCCTAGGGAGTATGTGATTTATACCAAGGACACTCTAGAAGAACGGATGCACTCCCTAACACACAGAGCTGTTACTTTAGGATGAAACATCCTTTCAATCCACCAATGATTATATACACTTCTAAGCATATATGAGTAAATATTTCTAAGCATAAATGACAATCAACAATACAAATCTAACATGATGTCAACAGTATAACAGGCAGAGGTCACGTCCAAAATCAACAGACCAGAACATTCTCATGCATCGCAGCACACTCTATGAAAACATGTTGCAGTGGAATGAGCTCTTCAACAGCTGGATTGAAAACTATCCAGAATGCTGTATTTGTCCAGAACAGCTGTAAGCTGCTCAGCCTGAACCTTTTCCAAAATCTTAGCAGTAAACAGTAATTTAGAGAAGAGTATGTAGCTGCTAAGAAAAGAAGGGTCAGCTTATTTTTTAAGTGGGTGGATAAGAACATTCTTAAAATAAACAGGAACTTGACCAAAGACCAGTGACGTGTTGATTTTAGTGACCACAGTGGCTGTTAGGCTGAAAGACATTTTTTGAACAAGTATGCTGGTATAATGTTAAGAGAGCAGGAGCCTACTTTCACTGAGACAACTAATTTTACCAGCTCAGGTAAAGGAGGTAAAAAATAACAGGCTGACCTGGGGTAGGAACAGGCACCAAACAGGAAGATGCCAAATATTATGTCTCACATTACAGATTTTTACTACAAAGAAAGAAAGAAAAATAAATATCAAATTTTATGACTGTTTTTTTTAACATTGACCATTGTTCACTGTAAATAGTCTCAGCAGAATTAAGGCAAATCTATTCAAATTACAATTTTTGATGCTAAACATGATTTAGTTACTGCACAGAGCTCAAATGGAGTCAGTACTGAAGATGTGAAAGCTGAAGTAGTGGTGACCCCTCCACACTATCATGATTTGCACTTATCTGCCCCTCTAGACTGAGCGGCAGGTACAGTAAGTGGACTTCCAGGGTAATTCCTTTATTTATGTTGCCTTTAAATTTCTGTCAAGAGTCGGTCATTCCCAGTTCCAAGGCAACATACCAATCTGCTTACTGCTGAAGATCACAGTTTTTATGCAGTATATGTTTTTGAAATGCTGCTCTCTGTGGAATTATCATTCTTATTCTTTGTTTTTACTAAGGTTACTGTAGCCCTGTAGTTATTCTGTTTTTTAATCTGCTCATGGCTGCTGGATTAAACTTGAGCTGGAGTCCATTCATTTTTCTGCATGTTAACGGATGTATTTTCTTTATTTCCAAATTGTAGATGAGTCCTTTTTTTAAGTTAACCTGATCACATCCTGTCTTTGTTCTTAGGCATCGTCTCCCTGATCTCTTTGTCCATCCTGTCCTACGACCGCTACAGCACTCTGATGGTGTACAACAAGCGGTCGGCGGACTACAGAAAACCCCTGCTGGCAGTGGGGGGGTCGTGGCTGTATTCGGTGATATGGACAGTGCCCCCCTTATTGGGCTGGAGTAGTTATGGCCTGGAGGGGGCGGGGATGAGCTGCTCGGTGTCGTGGACTGAGGAGTCACCTCGCTCACATTCATACATTATCTGTCTGTTTGTGTTCTGCCTTGGGCTCCCCGTCCTGATCATGGTGTATTGCTACAGCCGCCTGCTCTATGCCGTCAAACAGGTGGTTCACGTTCACAGATGCTGAACATCTGGCAACTTAATTTAGAATTTATATTTTCAATACAATAACGTCAACTAAAAGAGTTTTTAGTAGACATGTGTGTATATATTATATATTTTATATATGTTACATATATTTTTTTCCTTTAATTAAATTTGCATATTTATTTACATTATTCAGTTTATTAATTTATAATTTGCTATTTTAGGTATTTACACTTTTAAAGATATTTTTACTACCTAAATATTACAATATTTGTGCTTTGTTGCTTCTGACAGGGGTTTTTCTGTCTTTATCTTTTATTATTTCTGTATACTTATTTATGTTCTATTTTCGTGTCATGAGATTTTGATGGGACAATTTTGAAAATGTTTTAATGATAAAGTCCCTTCGTCTTGTCTGTCAGGTGGGTCGTATCAGGCGGACAGCAGCTCGTCGGCGAGAGTTTCACATTCTGTTCATGGTCATCACCACGGTGGTGTGTTACCTGATCTGCTGGATGCCATACGGCATTGTTGCCATGATGGCCACCTTTGGCCAGCCAGGACTCATCAGCCCCGTTGCCAGCGTCATCCCTTCAATCCTTGCCAAGACCAGCACCGTCATCAACCCTGTGATCTACATCCTCATGAACAAACAGGTGAGTGCTGGACTGAGCTGTTATCAGGTAGAAACAGGGCTTAAAATACGATTTGTCAGTACGGTAGGTAGGAGCACTGACACACTGATGAGGAAGAAAATAAAAATGCTAATAAATTAAAACATACACCAAAAAAGTAAGATGAATAAATAATATTTTCTAATTTTTAATGTAGATTTTGTGATTTTTTTTCCAACTTTCATTATATACATATTAAAAAAATGTGTAGGAAAAACTAAACATATATATAAATATAATGAGTAAATGAACATTTTTATGTTCATGTTTTTTTTCTTTTTGAATATTTAATTTAAGTGAGACAGAGAGGTGTGGCAGGATTGTTTTTTAATTTAATCTCAGTGCAAACTACATCAGTATGATGCCTACACACAGACAGAAACACACATGATGTCATTAACAAAGTACATCACAATGTTTTCTTTTTTTTTTTCAAAATCGTATATTTATTTAAAACTGTATTTAAAAAATGAACTTTAAATAGCAAATAAATATTCCATACTTTGAACAACCTAGCTCTCTAAAGCAGGGGTGTCAAACTCCAGCCCTGGAGGGCCGGTGTCCTGAAACTTTTACATGTGTCTCTGCTACAACACACCTGAATAAAATTAGTAGGTCTTTAGCCAGACTATAGAACTTGGCTGCATGCTGAAGTGGCAACCCCTAACCCTACTCTACTCAACTCTACTGAATCAAATGGCTGAATTGCCACCTCAGCATGCAGTCAAGTTCTATAGAATCTTGCTAATGACCTACTATTTGTATTCAGGTGTGTTGCAGGTGGGACACATGGAAAAATTTCCTCGAGGACTGGAGTTTGGCATCCCTGCTCTAAAGGAATAAGAAGGAAAAATAGAAAATAAATTCTTAACATATCTAAACAACTGAAAAAAAATATATTGGTTGTAAATATTTTAAATATTTTAATTGATTCTACATGTACAAAGATATACAGTTACACCTTAAAGTTTTAATGGAAGATCAAAAAGTAAGACAATTGAAATATAAAAAAAAACGATGTTGCTTTTTTTGCTTGTTTTTTAATTAAGAACATCTATTCAACTCTTTGTTAACATAAGTATCAGCGAGTCACATGGCAGCAACTCAGTGCATTAAGGCATGTAAACATGGTGAAGACGGCCTGCTGAAATTTAAACTAAGCATTAGAATGAAGGAGAAAGACATTGTGGGAGCCAGATCCAGATACTGCTGCGACTTTCCCACATAATCATCTCTACAGTTTACAGAGAGTAGTCTTTAAAAAATTTTTTAAAAATCCAGTGAGTGGCAGTTCTCTGGGAGAAAATCCCTTGTTGATGCCAGAGTTCAGAGGAGAATGTCCAGACTGCTTAGAGCAATTAGAAAGGAAACAGGAGCTCAAATTACCGCTTGTTACTACTAAGGTATGCAGAAGAGCATCTTTGAATGCATTCAGCCATGTCTCAGCGGTTGAGGCTGGTGATGGTGCTACAAGTTGTTTTAGAAAACAAATTAAATTTAATTACACTGATAAGCAAAGAAACATTTGGTTTATTTTGTGAATAGCATGTTTGCTCAGTAAGAGACTATCTGCCTGGAGATAACATCAACATCTGTCTGTTAATGAAGCAGGTATTATCATACAGAGCGAGTTTGGACTGGAGAGCTCACAAACTCCCATTTACATCGTAAAAAATATACTTTCATGGCATATCATTTGGCTAATCAACAAACTTCAGATGAGGTTATTGGGTAAGTGAGGATGGAGCTTAAGACAGAATAGCTGCCAACACTGGCATTGACATATATTATATTAAAACCACTAACAAAAACAAATCTCTTTGTCAGTTCTACCGCTGCTTCCTGATCCTGTTCCACTGTAAACACCCACTGACGGAGGATGTACAGTCCTCCATGCCCTCCAAGACCACCATGGTCCAGCTGAACCGGCGCGTGTTGGATGGCAGCCCCGCCAGGCCATCTGGTACCAAACCCATTGTGCAGGAGGTGGAAGGAATCAGCGCTGCAGAATCTGACAAAACCGACCCCGTAGAGCTGCCGCTGCCACCCCTGCCGCTGCCTGAAATCTCCTCCTCCTGACAGCCCTAAGCACTGACTGTTCACTGAAAAGTGGGGCCAGCAAATGTCTGTTTTTTGAACCCTTCAACCACCAACATCTCAGCTCATACTCACACCCATACTCATCACTTCTCAGTTTGTATGTGTTTCATTTTTTTTGGGAAACGATGAGGTCATACCCTAGATGCCAACCGTATTCAGCTGCTGTAATTATTGATTTAATAATGTGAGCTAAACTAATCTAACAGAAGAGTTAAATCCTGTTGTCGGATTCAACCGTTGAAATCAGAGGCTCGGTAGAAATCAGATTTTGCTTGTTTGTTTGCAGACCTCAGACTTTAATGACTAATTTGTGGGTATTTTTCTATGGTCTGTGTCCTGTTGGTGTGTTGGGAATAAAGTGCTGTGCTCTGCTTTGACTCTCTGACTTTAATTTTAGCAGGCTCAATATGAGCGATGATTAGTAGTTCTGATGCATGCATGTCCTTTGATTTATTTATTTATTTTTTGGAAAACTACACAATTTCACTGTCCATAAAGAAGGCCACTAATACAAGATACGAGCTATTGCAAAGAAATGGAAGTTAAGGCCACTGTACAGGCCTGATTTTACAAACTTATGCTTGGTCTTAATGGCCAGGTCTCTTTTTTGCTGCTGCAAGTGCAACTAAAACAAGTTGTTGGGTCTGTGTTTCCACAAGCCCCGCTGGTTTAGAGACATATTCATCATGAAGAAAACAAGACAGTCAGCGATCGATCGATTTACTTGCAAGGGAGGCCTCGTCGGTGTCTACCACGACATCGGGGTCATTTACCACGAAATGACCCCGACGGCCTCCGCTTGCTGCCTTTTATTGGGAAAACAGTTCACACAATACACAGTAGTTTACACGTACCTCCCCTCGTAACCCCCCTTGGCACTGTATGTAGATGTGTGTGGGTGTGTAAGAATGTGTGTGTATGACCTCCTGCTGACCAAGGGTCATAAAAGCAGGAAGCAACATCACAAGAAACAGATCTTCCAGATAGGATGTGCCTGTGATAAAACACTACAGCCCCTACCCAGAACCTCGAGAATCTGGGGAGATGGACAAAGAATTCCTTTCATCACAGAGTTAAAACAATGTAGAGATGGTAAGCATAAAAATGACAACATTTAACAATTCACTTTAACAAAGTCACATTAGAAAATTCATCACTTACATTAAATGATTTTGACTCAGTCAGATTAGTAATTGAGCGCTGGTTAATAGAGCTACGTTGTACCTGCGGAGTGTTACTGAGCGGACCTAAAGCATCTTGAGCTGGAGCGGGGCACAGATTAAGTACACTATTCAGAAGTCATTCGTCATGTCAAATGACAGGCGGATAAACTCTCAGGTTGGTAATAAATGTATTACCTGTATAAGAAAAAGCATCATGTAAACAAACGAGAGCCTAACAGTAACTGTTATGCTGGTAGCTAAAAATGCTAATTTAGCTTAGTTTGCCCTGGGTTCATCTTTGACAAACAAATATGATTGAATGTTTCCAGTAGAATTCCACAGTTGCCATCTTGTACCCTCTCAGAGCCCCGTATGCTTGCAGAGACCCCTACAGTAGGGAAATGTGTAAAAAGACTGTAGAAACCATTGTATTTTAGGTTTATTTATGTCTTACACAGCATCCCAGCTCTTTAGCTAACTTAATAACTTTAGCTAAAGTGAATAGTTAGTCTAATTAATTAGTGCAGCATTACTGGATTGCCCCTGTTTGACATGATATGATATATGACTCACACTGTGTTTAACTACCATAATAATTATTAATAATTCTTGGGTTACTGAGTGTATGATTAATTAAAGTTTTTTTTAAGACATACATACATTGTTATGTTTGACATGCAGATGTTTTCAGATCACCAAAACACCTCCTAGATCTACTCTACAATCAACTTTTACAGGTTTTTATGTGCCAGAAATTGGAATGTCCACTGAAGACTGAAGATGGTGAATTTCTGAATCTCTACGCCTTGCCATTGATCTCCTTGTGCCTTCATCTAGTTTTGGAAGAGACATTTACTTAACCACACTCTCACATGCTCTGTACCTACATCACCATCCCTGACAGTCATAGCTTGGCCCATCAGAATGTGAAATTATAAGCGTGCAAAACGTGTTATTTTGCAAAGTACTCTCTAGGGTTCTTAAATCACATATGACATTGAGATCATTTCTTTTGAATTCTTTTAAATAATCCCTTCTTCTGAAAAATAAGAACCTCTCCTGGTTTTAATGGTACTTTGGAGTTCCTTACTTTCTGTTGCACTCCCAATCCCAAATAGATGCTGACAAGCTGGCACAGTAACATGGAGGAGAGAAAGAAGTTGGCAAGGACTACTAAAACTCTTTTAAGGATTTCAATGGCAATGAACCTAATGCCTAACAATGAAAAATGTAAAATAATAATAAAGATAACGCATGTCTTCTTTAGTTTTTTGTTTATTCTATATAATCATCCAGATGTCTGGCTGGCTGATCATCAGTGTTGGGTAAGTTACTTTAAAATAAAAACAAGAATCACTCAGAAGTGTTCGTCTATACTCTCGTGTCAGGCGCTTCAGTAGATTACTCCTGCTATTAACAGCAGCCGATAGTTTTTTCTCCCCAGGACATAGCTTACATATTACTGTAGTATTCTTGTCTGCTTGTTTCAGAAAAGTGAAAAGACGGGAATATGTCCATTTCAAAAAACAGCCACACGCTTCAGCATAGTCCGACATCTTCCGCTTTAGAATACGACTATGCAGCAAACTGGCGCGAAATGACGTGCACCTGCACTATGATGTTAAAGCGGCAGAGTTTACTTCTACGTTTAGAAGATAAATTATTGAAATGAAATAATGATATTCAGCGAGTTTAATTATTTTACAATGTAAAGCAAGTAAATTGTAAGTAACTGTAATTAAAATACCTAAAAATAAACAGTAATTAGTCAATTAGTGGAAAAGTAATTTAATTACAGTAACACATTACTTAGGGAGATCACGCTTTTCAAACCCTGGCTCCAATACTGTGGAACGGTTTACCCTCCTCACTACGCACCATCAACACGGTGGCCTCTTTTTAAAAACAGCTTAAAACTCATCTGTTTAGACAGGCATTTGGGTAATGTTAATGCGTAATATGTTGTTTTATTTTATATTTATATTGTACTATTGCTTGTTTGATATGCTTTTATATTTCCTCTATGTTGCTATATTGTTTGTTTGACATGTCTTCATGTGAAGCACTTTGTAACAGTGTTTTTGTCTTAAAAAGTGCTATATAAATAAATTTTACTTTTTTACTTACTAGTAACGCATTACACCCAACACTGCTGATCATGCTTCTAAACATGATCAGCCAGCCAGACTTGTGATGACAAAAACCACAATTGAAGGCCTTTATCATCACATGCTTGAACTCATCATATGTTTTTTGCATATGCTGAACAGGCAGTTGGACATGCTGTAACTGCTGGGTAGAAAACTGCATGAACACTATATGGACTATGAGAGGTGTGGTTGAACTGCATGAAGACTCTCTTCTGGCAGGACAGGAATGTGGCCTTGTCCTGTGAGCCACTGTAAGGATGTACTTAGAGTAGAACTGGACCATCACTGGCCTCAGGCTCTTCACCTTTTCGAAGACAAAGCAGTCATTTAGATAAAATATTGGATATTATTTACCTGTAACTGCACAAAGAGAATTTAGAAATATAATTATTGACAAGAGTAAACAAGCACTGATAGTGTAATATACAGCTACAGATTTGTGTGTGTGTAAAAAAGATTTGTATGTGTAAAAAGAATTTGTATGTGCGTAAAAAAGATTTGTGTTTGGACTTAGCCAAAAAAAACCCTGCAAGTTACAAGTACGAATTTTGACCCTATTTTTCTTCCTTTCATCTGATTGGTCAATGTCATGTCAATCACAAATCTAACAATCCAATCAGAGAACAGATGGGTTTGGCTGTCGGAGGGGCACTTTTTTGAACTGCAGGTTCTTAAAGGACCGTGTGTCTATGTGAGTGCGCGTGAGTGACTGTGTGCCTGTGTGTAAGTGCATCTGTATATATGTGTTTGTACCTCTGCGTACGTGACTTCCTGGGGGGTCATAAAAGTCCATCCCCGTTCCAGACCACAGTTATCCAGTTACAAATGTTGAGACCCCCACCCAGGTATGCCCTGGGGAATTTCCACTCAGCATTAACTTCTCTTTGTCTTACTTTCACAGCTCAAGTGGGGGAAGGTCTCTTAGAAATCTACTCCTAAGTTTATGACACTCAGGCCTTTAATACATCGAGGGCAGTGTCAGTGTCTCTACAATAATTCTACATTTCTGAACTCTAAAATAGGCTAAACATATCTTCAAGACTTATTTCGGTAAAAGAAATCAAACATTTTCAATCCCAACAACACCCAACATCCCAACATCACTCCAAAAGCATAAATATTGAAAAATATTAAAAAATAAAAATGGAATCTCAAAGGATATCATCCTAAAAATGGCATTCAGGGTTTTTGTTTTGTTTTTTTTACAATAAAATAAAAAAGCAGCCAAGTTTTCATTGAAAATGTTGAATTTTAGTAAAAACAATGCTCTGTAGCTTGATACTGTTGTTACAGACAAAGTGGATGTTTAAAGCCTTTGGATGTGCATTTAAAAGTCTTGCATTGCTGTAAGTCTCCTTATCAGCTGAAAATATTCAAGCCATGAAATTACTTTTTTGAACAGCTAAAAAAACATTAAACAACAGCAATGTTCATCCTGTTTCAAATTTTGAAAAAGCAGCTAAAATACACTGAGATTGCTCCACGGTTTTAGTGCGTTAACTCTGGATGTCTGTGGGTTTTGTCAAACTTGGAGTGAACAAAAGCAGAAAAACAGTAAAAGATGCAGACAGTGAAATTCTGGTTTATTTCATGAATACAATGAAACATTTTACAGTCCACAGAGCAAAGTAGCATACAGTACATGGTAAATAGATACACATAAAACGAACAGTGAGAAGTAAAAACCATCGTCTTACCAGATGTTTTATTCTGTAAACTTAAAATAAACCCCTGAAATTAGAGTTTAGTGTTTTAAGTCATCTATTAAAAACATGAGTCAACACTTCTTTCTCTCAGCAGCATTACTGAAGTGACACTTTAACAATCCTTCATATCACAGACTTTATGATGATAAAACATGTTCTCCCATTAGTAGATGTCTGCGCTGTCAGTTGTCATGAAAATGTCCAGAGCCAGGGTTCAAGCTTCCGCTTCAATCACCATTGATCATTAACCCTTTAAAACCGGTCAGAGCGGGCATGCTCCGTTTTGCGTAACTATTTTTAAATCCCGGTAGCACTGCAACCACGTGAGCTAGCG